CACAGATCCCAGTCGTGAAGGAATTACAACTGCAATTATGTGATTTTCTCCATCCTAGTCTCATATACACATTTTCTGAGCCATATCTGATTACACACTTTTTTCCACACATTTGAACCTCACAGACAAGGAGGAAAGTAGAAAAAAAAAAGCAGACCTTATCTATACATAGAGGTCTCAAGATTAAAATGTATGGTACGTTTTCAAACTAGAAGGAAAAAATAGGGCTTTCATTTTTTTCTTCCAATCATCAAGGCTTCAGGACACATTTTTAAAGAGTACAAAAACCATCCTTGAGGGGCTGGGGATTTAGCTCAGTGGTTCTGCCGCCTGCCTTGAAAGCTCAAGGGTCTGAGTTCAATCCCTGGTACCAAAAAAAAAAACAACAAAAAAACTCACTCTTGAGGGGATCTAATATAAAACATTTTGTATGCATTTCACCTACACTGGCATTAACAAGTATATCAAAAGTCAAATTTTCAATAATTAAATCTAAAGCAACATTCTTCTTTCCCAAAGATTTACTGTGTAACTGTGCACTCACAGAGAGATCTACTGTTATTAAGGGTGCAAGTTATTGTTGTGGGTAAAGAACATTCATTCTTGTCTCTCACAGTATTGGGGGGGGCGTGCAGTGAGGAGTAGCGGTCATGTATACAAAGCTATCTCAGCAAAGTATTTGATATTAAAGAATGAGACTCATACAAGAACAAATCAAAACTCAATTTTATTGTCATATCTATAGGAACTATACTGAGCAAAAAGAGTGTCCATCACAAATATTAGAAATATCTACACTCCCATCTCACCTACATTTTAGGTAGAAAGTCTCTATTGCTCCTGAGTTGAAATAAATGGAAGGACAGAAACGCAAAATAAGAACAAGATTTCATAAGAGAAATAAGATATGTTAAAGGCCCAAGCAACGTGTCAACTGCAGAGTTGTAAAGTGTTATTAGTCATCATTCAAACTGTTCAAAAGTGGAAAGTCCTGCTTATAGAATAGGGTTTGACCATCATGAGATGGGTGTGGTGGTCAGGGTGGAGTGTCAACTTGATTGGCCATGGATCCACTCCAAGGGTTGGCAGGACACACTTCCGGGCTGGCCTGAGGCAGTGCTGTTGATCTGGGTACTTCCTCTCTTTCACTGGTCCTCTGCTCTACTCCACTACTTGGCTACCGTGAATAGAGCGGCTTTACTCTGCCACACCCTTCTGCCACAATAGCTGCCTGACTGAAACCAGAAGCCAACTGTGGCATGTTTTAATTGCATCATTAATGAGAATTTGAAAGCAGAATTTCTTTGCTTCTTTAAATGGTTGTGAAATCATTCATAAGTGGAAAGAAGTTAGAGAACTTTTACTTCCACGCAGTGTAAGAAAATGTGCATAAGCTTTGTCAAAAGCGAGGCCAGTATTTACTTGGTAAATGACCTTGGGTAGGAGAATGTTAATCTCTTGGAGTCTGTTTCATCATTGGCTGCATTGCTGGGAGGATTGCATGAGTTAATACATCAAGCTCCTAGTTCCAGTGGCTACTCAATAAATGGTATTCACTGTCATTGTTGCTGTTCTTATAAAGAGAGAATAAAATGAAATTCCTGTGTTTTTACTATTTTTATATTGAGGAAGCACTGAACATATTGAAAAGAGAAGAATTATAATCCTGGGCTGGTGACAAGATTCTTTCCTAAAGTTTTTTTTGAATTGACAAATAATTGTACATATCTATCATGTACAGCATGTTTTGAAATATGTATACAGTGTGGAATGGCCAAATTGAGTCAACCAACATATGCATCGCTTCACATACTTATAACATTTTGGATATAACCCCAAAAGCATTCATGGAGAGAACACTTAAAATACACTCTCTTGGCAATTTTCAGGAATAAAATGCATTGTTACTAACTAGAGTCACTGTGATGTACAATAGATCTTCTAAACGTACTCCTCCTCCTGAAATTTTGTATCCTTTAAGCAACATATTTCCATCATCCCCCACATCTCACTCAAGCCTGATAACCACTGTTTCCCTCTACTACTGAGTTCAACCTTTTTAGATTCCACATATAAATGAAAACATGTCATATCTGTCTTTCTGCATCTAGTGTATTTCATTTAACATAATGTCCTGCAAGTTAATCTATGTTTTTAAAATGGCAGGATTTTCTTCATAAAGCTGAATAGTATTCTATTGTGCACACCACATTTTCTTTATCTGTTCATCTACTGATAAATAATTAAGTTGATTCCATATCTTGATTATTGTGAATAGTACTGCAGTAAACAGGGGACTCTGGATATTTCTCTGATGTACTGATTTTATTTCATTTGGATGTAGGCCTTGTAGTGGGACTGCTGGGATATATGGTACTTCCATTTTTAAATTTTAAAAAAACTTTTTGCTGTTTTTTAAATAGCTATGCTAATTTACATCACCTTCAACATTGTTCAAATCCTCCCTTTTGTCAGCATCCTCATCAATACTTGTTATCTATTACCTTTATTGATAATAGCCACTCTGCAGGTGTGATGTGATCTCACTGTAGTTTTAATTTGCATTTCTCTGATAATTAGTGATGTGAACATCATCACTTTGTTGGCTGTCTGAATGTCCTTTGAGAAATATCTATGCAGGTCCTTTGCCTATTTTTAAAATTTTTTATACTATTGAGTTCCTTATATATTTTGCATATTAATCCTTTATCATATTTGTCCCCTTCTGAAATTTGTCTCTTCACTCTTGACTATTTCCTTTGTGGTGCAGAAGCTTCTTAGTTTAATGTATTCCCATTTGTCTATTTTGCCTTTTCTTGCCTATTTGGGGTCATATCCAAAAAAATCATTGCCCGTAACAACGTCATGGAGCTTTTCCCCTGTTTTCTTCTAGTAGTTTTATAGTTTGTGGTGTTATGTTTAAGTCTTTCACCTATTTTGAGGGGTTTTTTTTATAGTATGACTCTTCATGTGGCTATCCAGTTTTCCCAAAATCATACATTGAAGAGGCTGTCCTTTGCCACTGTGTATTCTTGACATCTTTGTCAAAAATTGATTGCCTGCAACCAAACGAATTTGTTGTCTATTTCTCTTGAACCATTGGTCTATGTGTGTTTTTATGCTAATACCTTGCTGTTTCCCTCATTACAGCTTTGTAGCATGTTTAGAAATGAGGTAGTGTCATGCCTCCAGCTTTGTTCTTTTTGTTCTCAAGTGTTTTTCCTTAAAAATATTTAGAAAAACTGAGGACATAATAAGAAAAGGGAAAATGCTTCTTTTCAGCCAGAATTTCGGAGAGTTTTGCTTTTTCTCCAAATGAACCCTTCTGAGTGATGTTCCTGGGAAAATGACATGTGATGTGAGGAACAACACAGAGATAGCCTCGTGGTAAAGAGGTCTGCTACAAGTGGTCATTTTTAGAGCTCTTACAACTTCCACATTTTGAAAAAAAGTAAAAGACACATGTAGATTGAAAAGAGAGGAAATAATCGTGACATAATAGTCTCACAGCATATCTAACACACTGAGTGTTTCTTGGGCGCATGCTAAGCTTCCTATGAGGAGGTGAATATAAAGTTAAAAGGTTTCCCACCACATATGTATGAACACAGTGTACAACAAGAGTGTTCTTTCATCCCCTGGAAAGCACCGTACACTTGTAAAGCATATGAAATGGAACAGTAGGACCTATGTTGTGAGCTGTCTCATACCAGCAATGTTCAGCAGAAAGTGGAGTTTCAAATGGTGAAATATAAACCTAAAATCTTTCTGTGGCAGAAGAATAAACTGCCAAATTTCTTCAGATCTCAGCTTGAAGTACCCAATGCGTTTTGTTTAGATTTTTCTCAAAGCCCACGTACGGATGACGATGATTCAGCAACTGAAGCTTGATGGCCCTGCTGTGTACACAAGCAGCCCAGTGAGTTCATTCTTTACTTCATTCTGGCCTCCTGGTCTCCACTCCCCAGACAAGGGCCCGTTCTTACTCAAACCAGGAACTAATAAAACTGGTTCCTTTCTCCCTTTCAGCACCCAGAATGCCGTAAGCAGTCGGGTTAACCCTAACCATTTCTCTTCAGTGAAACTCGTGAATCAGCTGGAGCACTTGGTGCCAGTCCATCCAGCCGAGGCTCGGCAGGAGGCTAAGGGAAAACTGGGAGATGCTCTAATAAAGCCACTCCGGCGGCGCGGCGGCGGCGGAAGGAACGAGGCCTGCGTCCCTGCACCAATCACTGGGCTCGCCACACCCACCAGCTTCTGCGCACTGCTGAACCTTGATCTCGCTCGTGTGATAAAGAATAAAGGCACCGGTGGCCTCCTCGCACAACTGCAGAACGTCGTTGTCAAAGCTGGTTTCACAACTGACTGCTTTAATCCCAGGGGAGAGGGAAAGTAGCCTTACAGGGATCAGGACTCCTGGACTGTCACACAGCCCCGCACACTCTGGGGCGGTCCTCAGGGAGAAAGTTCAGGGAGAAGGTAAACAAATGCCCCAGTTTAGCAAGGAGAGGTCTGTGTGACCGGAGTGGGAAGACGGTGGGTAACACTAATTGCTGCTCTGGGCTCCTTCCTCGAAGGTACTCCAGAGCCAGCCAGCCAGGCGGCAAGCAAGAGCCCGGATGAGCTGCAGCGCCACAGCCTGCGCTCTGCTCCCCTGTCGCTTGGCTGTGCCTCACTCCTTGCTCGTAGCAGCCTGGCTCCTGGTCCCTGGTCCACACACAGTGCAGGTAACAAGGGGACTGGAGAGGACCAAGCAGGGGTAACACCCGAATACAAAGCACAGCAGCAATGCAACCCTGGTGCCTCTCATCACGAGGCAGTTTCCTTCTCCTTTTAGCTGTCGGATTAGGAGAGGGCAGCCAGCTTGCCCCAAACCTGACAGTAGTAGCTCAAGAGCTCTCCTGCTCGCCCCTTCAAGACTGATCGTGGCTTTGGTTTTCCTTTTCACCCCGGGAAGCGGCAGCCCACACACCTGAACTGCACCCCAGCTCCCAACTCACCGTCAGCAGGACCCGAGTGCACGCATCGCCAGTGTTGGCCAAGCACTGGCTTTACTTCTCATTCTTCACTACGCTAAACTTTCCCAGCATATTTGGCCCTTTATGGAGAATTATGGATTTAAATTAGTCCTAAACGGAAGGGCGGACTTTCCCCCTGAATATTCCAGGAAGTGAAAACAATGGTTCACTCTCTTAAAGGGTGTTAGCTATTCCTGTATCAGCTCTATAGTTTTTCCATATTGTTTAATACTTTATGTAAAATCAATACATAAAAACTTTAATATTTACTTTAACTTCAGTCTAAGCAACACAAATCTATCCAATTATGTGTTTCATATGAGTTTTTTTCCTACTTTACATTAAATTTAAATATATACTGCTACACATTTTTGAAGTTCACTTATGTATCACCAAAAGAACAGCATCTTTCTTTTTTTTTTTTTGGTACCGGGGATCGAACTCAGGACCTTCCACTTGTGCGGCAGGTGGCAGCACCACTGAGCTAAATCCCCGGCCCAAGAACAGAATCTCAACTGTCATCAATAGGAAGTATTAACTTTGGGAAAATCTGAATTAATGAAATCAAAGCATGCTATACAGCATGCACAACAGACTTGTCAGAGGGAGAAAAGAGCAAAGTGGTACTAAATACTGTAAGGTGGAAAGGCTTAGGCTAAGGCAGGGAGAAAGCAATAAAAGATGTGGAAATTGAAGCACAGGAGAAATTGGCCTGACAGGTATAAACAAGATACATTAGTTGTTAAAGAACCTAGATTTGAGGCCAGAGAGCTGCACATATAATAACCACGCTGGTTAGTGAGGGCCTGGCTGTGCTGATGAATTCACAGCAGGGAGTATAGAGTGAGCTCCCTGACATGAACCGCAGCGGGAACAGAAGCTGAAGGAAACAGTGTGAAAAACAACTACACCTCTTCCAGCATGGGTGACTGCTAAGGGTACTGGCTGATGACATAGAGATTTTGAGATAAATTTAAACAAAGGTGTCCAGTAAGCACTTAATGATATCATTCCACAGCCTTTATGGGAGGACAGAACTGTCTGCATTGATCTAGGCATCATCAGCAGAGATTGGACAGATAAACTCACAGAATGGATACACGTTCCAAAATGACAAGAGAGGAGAAGGTCGCTCACTGATCACCACTGTGAAAAGTCAGCTCCTGAGCAAACGTTCAACCTCAGCAGCACATTAGAAAGACTGATGTCTTAGCTACTACTTTCTCACTGCTGGGACAAAATATCCAACAACAACAACTTAAAGGGGGAGAGGAGTATTTTGGCTCATCATCTGTAGAGGCATCAGTCCAGAGTTGGCTGGCTCTGAGGCACAGCAGCATGACAAAGGGCATCACAGAGGAGAAACAGTCCATGGCATGGCAGCCAGGAAGCAGCAGCTTTCCTTCATCTTTCCCTTTTATTCATCTAAGCTACAACCCTATTGGTTGGTGCCACCCACACCAGGGTGGGTCTTCCCTCTTCAGTAAGTCCATCACCCACACTTAGAACTGTGCTAAACCAATCAGTGGGCTAATTCAGCATCACATAGCCATGATCCAGTCACTCCCCAAATCCTCACCTATGAGTGTATGAGGCCTTGTGGGAGAGCATCTAGATGTCAGCCATGACAACTGGTGAGTCTGAAAAATTACCAAGATCTGGACCCCATCCCACATCAATTAAATACAGATCACTGGGAACATAGCATTTATTTATTTATTTATTTATTTATTTATTTATTTATTTATTTATTACCAGATTAGGATTCTGAGAAGTCTGGAAAATTCTAAACATATAGCCAAACATCTTAATCCCACACACATTGCAGGGATGGAAAAGGTAAAGAACAGCAACTCAATCTTCTAGAGCATTTTCCACTAGGAAATAAAAAAATGTGAGGAAACATATGAAGATATTAGTAGTTATTTTATATGAGTAGGAGTTCCAATGTTTTAATTTTTTATGAGTTGCTGTTTTTAGATTTTTTTCCCCATTTTATTACAGAATTTTAGCTCTTCAGTTAAAGGGTCACTTGGCATCTAATTTTGACAATTGATTTTAATACAATAACAATGATACTTATCTATGTGTGTACTGTCAATTTTTCTTTCTCAAATGTCAATATAGTGTTTGTCCTGCATGGTGTATATGATTATGTAGGAAATCTCCAAAATAATTCTTTCACCATCACAAAGGATTTCTAAAGCCATTGTGGGGCATTCTTGCAAAATTTGTACAGTGCAGCCATTTTCTCTAGAAATGCATCCCTGATTTTGAAGGTTGGCTTTCACTTGGTGAGGACAGAGGAACTGTTGTTTTTATCATGCCAAGAATTCAAGGTCCATCAGAGCTGTTTCCACTTTTCATCAAGAGGCAAAATTCACACTGCATCTTACATTGAGATGGGGACTTGGCAGGACTCAGGGAAGGATGGAGTTTGTCCAAGCAGGAGCGCGGGCCCTTGTGTGGCACTGAGTGGGCAGAGCCGCCTGGAGGTGTGCAGGATGGAGCTGCTGAACCCAGAGGGCCAGGACAACCAGCACCAACACAGAAGCCACAGGAAAGAAAAGATGCAGTGAGAAGGAAGGCAAGGGACCACCTGAAGGGAGAAAAACTAGGTGCCAAAATGACAAAGTTACGGCATTGAGAGTTAGAGAATGGGAGCCAGAAGAACTGTAGTTGATTTACAAAAGAGATGGGAAAATCACTGAACTGCTGGAGCAGAAGAGACCAGCCAAGGGCAGGCACCTAAAAAACCTGTCTCTTGGGAGAATTTTAATCCACAGATATTTCCCATGCTTAATATTAGCTTAATATGCACTTCAGAAATGTGTTCCATTAGATGAGAGAAAGAAGTTCTGATGTACAACTGCACAGCAGGGTAACTGAAAAACAATGTAATGCACACATGAGCCACTTGCAAGATTTAGCTGTTGTGAATCGTGCTGCTATCAACATGGGTATGCATGGATCACTGTAACATGATGCCGTTAACTCTTTCAGGAAAATACCTAGGAGGGGAATAGCTGGGTCAAATGGAATTTCTAGCTTTAGTTTTTTGAGATTGAATGGATAAAGCAAATGTGGTATTTATACACAGTGGATTACTCCTCTGCCATAAAAAGGGATAAACTTGAGTCATGTGTAGTAAAATTGATGCACCTTGAGACCATATTATGTGATACAAATTAGACAAGCTCAAATGTTGTATGGTTTCTCTTACATGAGAAATCCAAAGTATAAATAAATTAAAGAGCAAAATACAAGACAGATAATAGAAAACAAGGAGATCGATTTTTGTCTTTTGCAAGAGGGACAGGAGACCAAGTGGTGGAGGGCCAAAGAGGAGGAAGGGGAGGAAAATAGAATGAAGATGTGTTACATACATGTGCCAGCTTCCCATGAGGAATGTGATCTTTACATACTAAAACATGACCCAATAAAAATTTAAAGTGTTTTAAAAGTAAAATAGATTCTAAATTTAAAAAGCAATGTAGTGTGGGGCTGTGGCGACATTTGAATGGCTGTTCATCAGCGCCTGGGCTGGGCTCAGGCGGTGTGGTACAATGAGGCGCCGGTAGTTAAAGAGATTATGGCATCTGAAAACTGAGGATCATTCCACTGATCTTCAAGAAAAAAGCTCTCTAATTTCACTCAGAAGAACATGAAGGTTAAGAGCTCTCCAAAGCAGTTGGCTGCTTACATAAATAGAACAGTCAGACAAGCTGTGAAAAGCCCAGATATCCTACATAAGGTGTTCTATCACAGAAAGAAAGTTCATCATCCCTTTCCAAATTCTTGTTACCAAAAAAAACAGTCCCCTAGAAGTGGGGGCTGTGACATGGCAAATAAAGAAAATGAGCTGGCTTGTGCAGGCCACCTGCCTGAGAAGTTACACCACAATAGTCAGACATACGTGATTAACTCCAGTGACTCTGGTTCTTCACAGACAGAAAGCCAGTCATCAAAATACAGTGGGTTTTTCTCTCAGGTTTCTCAGGACCATGAAACAATGGCCCAAGTTTTGCTCGGCAGGAATTTGAGATCGAACATGGCTTTAATTTTCTGGAGAAAGAGAAGTTTAAGTGAACTTGTAGCTTATTTAGTGAGGAAGAAGACCATAGAGTGAGTAGATTGCCTTCCTAGTTTACAGGAAGAAAAACAATATATCTCACTTGGCTGCTGTGTAGATTTATTGCCTTTAGTAAAGTCATTACTTAAAAGCAAATTTGAAGAATATGAAATAGTTGGTTTAAATTGGCTTCAAGCAGTAATAAAAAGATGATGGTCAGAACTATCATCCAAAACAGAAATTATAAATGATAGAAATATTCAGATTTTAAAACAACAATTAAGTAGATTATGGGAACAGGAAAACCATATTACTTTGGTTCCAGGATATACTGGTAATATAGCTGAGGATGTAGATGCTTATTTATTGCCATTGCATTGAGAGATTTACTCTACTAAAGAGCAGTTGGTTATTTAAAGCATCCCAGGACTCTTATGATTTTCAACTCTGAACTGTGGAAGAAATAAAAACCATCCTTTTCTTTTTAAAAATCCACATAATGAAACCCTAACAATGTACTTCACATTGAAGTGGGAAAATACCCAAAACAAACCGCTTCGACTTCAGTGAGGTGAAAGTGTACTATGAAGACTGTTCGCCTTTGCTGCATTTGGGACTTACGGTTATTTAGTAACATTGTTTAAGAAATACTGGGTTTTAATGCAATCCTGCATTAGACTATAATTTGTACTGTGTGAAAAAATAAGACAAGACTTACTACTAGGAACCACAGAGACCAATCATAGATTTTTTTGTGTGTGTTTTTTTAAAAAAAACAAACACCTAAATGTGTGCAGCTATTTTCCTATGTTGAAGAGACTCAAAGTTTAAAACATCACAGTAAATAATCTTAAAACTTTTTGTACACACTAAGATATTGTGTATACAAAATGCCTTAATTATTATCAAGCCAATATGTTATGATACCAATAATCTTGTTTCCAAAAAAATTAAAACCAACATGCTTCTGGCATGATAAAATCATGGAATTTATCAGGGGTTTACAT